TGCTGCTAGATTTTGCAAGGACATCCAACAACTCACGAGTTTAGTGTTCCTGACACAACTGTTCGGCAGCACGTACAATATCTCATTGGTTGGTTTCAAACTGGTGAGCGTAAGTATATTTAAGCTCGCTGTTCAAAGATTCTTCTCTCTGGGCACGAGCACGATAATATTGCAATATTGAATTTATGATAAACAGGACAACCCCGACAAGAGTAAATTCGTCACGCAAGTGGTCATCTTTGTTATGCAACTTTTTATCTGCAACTGGCCGCCGGACCTTCTTCTATCGAAGGTAAATCATGTCAGATAGTTATGGATAATATAGACACAATTGTGTCTTTTTAGCGTGGAAGCATGTTCTTTAATTATTTTCAAAGTGATATTACAGTTGCTCGAGTGCAGATACAGAAAGTCTACGCTATATTTTTCAAACTTGAAATGTTAAACTTGTAGAACGTGATAGATCTAGCAATTGACACGTTTATTAAATTTTGCACTGATTATGATCAGACGCATATTTAAACTTTGAAAACCTTCGAAGTCTTTTAAATTCACAAATGAGATGCTTAATTCTTCCCTTTCTTTTCTACAAATCGGACATACAGAAAACTCGATGTAGACTTTGGTGACTGGCTGTGAATCTATCACATTCAACAATTCTAACACGCGTTCATTCCAATTGTGTATTCATAGAGAACTGTCTAAATATTTCGTAGTTTGCCACGACCTAATTTTGTTTTTAACGCGTCAAGGAGAATTTCTGGAATGTTTTCTGCTTCTGTCGGAATATATTATTTCCAACGTGACGCATCGAAATAAGGATATCCGCACTTTTAGTTGGCATAGTGAAACCTAGGTCCTTTCGTTATATTGTTCTTAACGCATAGAATTCAAGAAAGATAAGTGTGCGATTTATTATGATTACTCTAAAACTGAGATTTCCTGTAAATGTCAAACGCGTATGTAACTTCAATGTATTAATACTATATTGTATTATTATTAATGTAATAATAATAAGAAATCTTTTCATCAGTGCATCAATGAAAACTCAAACAAAAGACTTATAGATATCCGACACGCTTAGAGGAGATTTCACTTGAAACCAGCACGTCCAGTTTTCCAAAACGATCTGTTTCTTTCGTTTCTCTTTCAGAGTGAAGTCATGTCGATGCCAAACGCGTATGTAACTTCAATGTATTAACCCATTTGCATCCAAGCGCGGAATAATCCGCGAGCCGCGACTGTCT